TGATGGTGGTGATGGTGGTGGTGGTGGCGGCAGCTGAGCCCATCTCCTGGACGGGTGAGTAGAGAGAGAGAGAGAGAGAGAAAGAGAGAGAGAGAGAGAGAGAGAGAGTTCAATTACCATTCTATACAGTAACGAAATATTGCTATGTATATATGTATGTATGTATGATCAACACACCCTCATTAGTCAATATATTTTTCTACTATGCATTAATTCATTGTAATTTACTACAGACAGAATCGATTATATTTTCATTCTTGTACGGGCGTGAGTCATTAACACACACACACACACACACACACACACACACACACACACACACACCTTTCTTTATCATTTGCCAAATTGTACGATACTTTCAGCTTTATCCTACACGTGGCAGCGCTGTGTTTGTTATTGTCTCAGATAACATTATTGGAACCTTTTCTGTATAATTACTTGACTAAAAAAAAATACGTGAAATTATGGATACTAGATGAAATAATTAGTATATAACTTTAAAAAATACGTGAAATTATAGAAAGTAGATGAAATAATTAGTGAAATAATCAATGTATCAGGAGTTTGTTGATGTTTTTTTAGTAATTGCATCTATAATCCAATTAGTGTCTGTGTATAATTATCCTGTGATGATAATTAATGGTTTGGGTCAGTCTTAATAGTTGACACCTAAATCAATCTACCCATTAGAATTAGACCCTATTAGTAGTCTATCTCAATTCTAATGGTTAGGTTAGGTTGGATTACATTAGGTTAGGTTGGATTACATTAGGTTAGGTTAAGGTAGGTTAGGTTAGAACACTGACCTCATATTGATCAATCGTCGTAATAATAACTGATGTGCCAAGAGACCCAGTGATGGTTTAATCAGCGTGTGTTAGTAAATTGCTAACTTGATAAAAACGCACACACACACACACACACGCACACACACACACCTATCTGCTTCCCTCATCTAAAACTCATTCATAATTTACCTTCGTGTTGTACTGAATGTTTGATAGTAATTACCCTTTAATTAACAGGTACACAGGTAAGTTATTTAGTGTTTAATGAATCAATTATTATTTATTACCAAGATAAAAAAAAAACAATTGACTGAGTGTAAAAACTGACTGTGGATTTTGACTGTATTTCTCAGCTCCAGTTAGTAAAGTGGTTGAGTGGATATAGAGCTCAATACTTATCCTAAGGGGTCCCTGGTTCACGCACGAGGTACCCACAGGTGTGAACAGGTATCTAACTTTACTGTATTGAAGTAATGGTGGCAGTATACTGTATCCGCACCGCATCAAACAGGAATATCCCTTTGTTTAATTTATTCAAACCCTTTCCCCTTGATGTGCCACTTAAGGGGGTTAGGAGTAAGGGTCAGGGGGTAAGGGGTGGGAGGGTATGGTGTAAGTGGGTAGGGGAGAGAGGTTGGAATTCTGGGGGTTGGTGGAGGTCAGGGGGTAGGTGAGTAGGAGGTTGGTGGTCAGGGTTAGGTGAGTAGGAGGTAGTTGGAGGTCAGGGGTAGGTGAGTAGGAGGTAGTTGGAGGTCAGGGGTAGGTGAGTAGGGGGTAGTTGGAGGTCAGGGGTAGGTGAGTAGGAGGTAGTTGGAGGTCAGGGGTAGGTGAATAGGAGGTAGTTGGAGGTCAGGGGTAGGTGAGTAGGAGGTAGTTGGAGGTCAGTGGGAAGAAGGTAAAGCCCATATGTCTGTACTTGTGTGTGTGTGGGTATGTATACATGTATTTTAGGTGTATGTGTGTGTGTGTGTGTGTGTGTGTGTGCGTGTGTGCGGCCACGACATACACACATTAACATAAGTTTCACTGACATACCTGTGTGTTGTCGCGTGCATATCTAATTAGGGTATGACAGGTGAGTTAAGTATAATACACCTGCATCATATGACTCACCCCTACCCCCCTAGCCTCCTACCCCCTCCCCCTACTCCTACCCCTTCATGCATAACGTCGAAAATATCACTGTCATGCAACCTAAGTGACCACCACAGTACAGAAAGTGGCTTGAGAGAACTTAAGTGGCCTGAGTAACAAAGTGCTGTTATTTAAAAGTGAAGGCAAAAAAAGTGCTCACATACATGTCTTTGTTAACTGTCTCTACGCTGCTCGACGGTTTGAGGTGGATTTTGTACAGTAAATTATTTATGACTGACGGGTTTATTGTATATTTAGTAGGTGTTTTGATCTGAACCCTTTGAGGATGTTGGTTTAACCCTTTGAGGATGTTGGTTTAACCCTTTGAGGATGTTGGTTTAACCCTTTGAGGATGTTGGTTTAACCCTTTGAGGATCTTGGTTTAACCCTTTGAAGATGTTAGTTTAACCCCTTGAGGATCTTTGTTTAATCCTTTGAGGATGTTGGTTTAACCCTTTGAGGATGTTGATTTAACCTGGTTTAACCCTTTGAGGACTGTTGCAACCCTTTTGAGGATGGTAGTTTAACTCTTTCAGTACTATTATGGTTTAACCCTTTGGGTACTTTAAACCATATTCTCTCAAAGGGTTAAAACAGTCCTCAAAGTATTAAACCATCGTCCTCAAAGGGTTAAGCCATCGTCATCAAAGGGTTAAACCAGTCATCAAAGGCTTAAACCATCGTCCTCAAAGGTTTAAACCAGTCACCAAAGGGTTAAAGGTCCACTGTGTAGTTTTAAGTCAGTTCTGAGGGGGTTTTTATATCATGATTCATGTTGGTGTGAAGAAATGCATTTAATATTTTATCCATTTCAGTACGAACTTTCTCATGTTGTTTGTAGTTAAGTAGCATGTGCCTGTCTGTCTGTCTGTCTGTCTAGTTGTCTATATATCTATCTATCCATCTAATGTCTGTCTATCTCTATATCTATCTGTCTGTTATTGTCTGTCTATCTATATATCTATTTATTCTTGTCTATCTGTCTGTCATCTGTCTATTTGTCTACCTCTATCTCCACATCTGTCTATTTACCATCTGTCATGCACCAAATTACACCTTAAGAGTAATTAACTATAACAGCTTTCAATAATTCATTTGATGGGGCAAGTCATAACAAAACGCTCTGATCACCTGATGATTTAGACACCCCAGCTTAGTTCACCTGATGATTTAGACACCCCAGCTTAGTTCACCTGATGATTACACAGGTGAAGTAAGCTGGGGTGTGTAATCAACAGGTGAGCCAAACTCCTGTTGAATACCTGAACGTGACTCATCAGTTTAGACACATCAGTTTAGACAAGAGTTTTTTTACCTGTGCACAAAATGTCAAATGACTGGAGTGTGTGTGTGTGTGTATGTGTGTGTGTGTGTTCGTGTGTGTGTGTGAAGGGTATTATTTGTGTTTGTACTACTTCTTCTTCTTCAGTAGTTATCATTTAACACACTGGCCACTCACTCCCAAACTCCTATTCTTAATATTACATTTAATTAGGTCATTTCAAACGATTATATTAGGTCAAAGGTCAAGCTGGTATTTAGTATGGGAGAGACGTGTTTATATTAGCATGTAAATTATCCTTATCTGTTATGCAGTGGCGGCTCGTGAAAAATAAACTGGAGGGAGTGCAAGCCTCACACAACAGTAGGTGACCTACCTCAGGTATGAGTTGTAGTTGATGTCCACTAATTCCCAGGGCATGGTAGTAGTGTTGGTGGTGATGGACCAGTATTAATTGAAAATAAAGTCCGCGTGTCTGGTCTTCGATGTAGCAAAATTGTTTATTTGTCTGATAAACACTGATGTTAAACTGGCGTGTATATTCTTTGTTCCTGCTTGTACTGTTCTGTTGAATGGATAAACCTGGTGTAGGTCTTCCTCTTGCTTTGATTTCAGTCTTTTCATTTAATGTCAGCTGGGAAAAGTTGATGTTTTGCAAATACTTCACTCGATTTTCCATCGTCAAAGGGTAATTAAAGAAAGCACGATTTAACCACACAGTCCACACGTAATGTAAACACGAGACTGAGCTGCTTCAAGTGCGGCGGCGGCGCCAACAGACATGAATCGTACAGCATTGACAGCAACTATGAAAGTAACTTAAATTTTGGTCTGATTTTAATGAAAATTCACTTAGCAACGTATTGAAAATAATTAAATAACATATAAAATGATATATTTGTTGGTAGTGTATTATTCAGCTGTCTCTCTAAAGGAATCATACGCCTGGCAGTGAGTGTCTGGGGGGACTGCAGCTCTGCACGAGCCGCCACTGACAACATGTATTAAATATATATTCATCTTTCTCTCTCTCTCTCTTAATAACACTCACTTAGAACGTTTCTCTTAACATTCTAAATATAACTGTTATCACTCACTAGTCTTAATTGTTATTGCATGTTATCATGTACTGAACAAGACCTAGGGGGGGGGGGGCTGTGCATGGTGCTCTCACTCTCTCTCGAGCTTAATACCTGTGTCACATATTTAACTTCCAAACTTTTGTTACCCCCCCAACTTACACCTGTCAATCTCCCACAGGTAACACAAGACAGGGCTGTCATTCCAATCTGTCACGGAGAGAGGCCTGTCATTCCAATCAGTCATTCCAATCTGTCAATCCCACAGGTAACACGAAGAGAGGCCTGTCATTCCAATCAGTCATTCCAATCTGTCAATCTCCCACAGGTAACACGAAGAGAGGCCTGTCATTCCAATCTGTCAATCTCCCACAGGTAACACGAAGAGAGGCCTGTCATTCCAATCTGTCATTCCAATCTGTCAATCTCCCACAGGTAACACGAAGAGAGGCCTGTCATTCCAATCAGAGAACCTCCCTACAGATGACTCGTACGCCTCCCTCTACCTGACCTCCAACATGACCTCCACCGCCGACCTCTCCATGTGTGTGTGGGTGAAGGTGCTGCACTTCAAAGAGTCATCGTCGTATTTGTTGTCTTATGCCACCTCTGACCTCAACAATAATGAGATGAACTTAGCTATCAGTAAGTGTTTGTTTGTCTGTTTGTTTGTTTGTTTTATGAGGTAGAAGGTTTGGCTGGATACATACATACATACATACATACATACATACATACTACATACATACATGTTTGTGCTGATCAAGTGTTGGTGCTGATCAAGTGTTGGTGCTGATCACTTGTGTTAGGTATTTACGTGATGTGGTGTTGTGTGTGTGTTTGTTTATCGTTGCCATCGTTACTATCAGCCTGTAATAACCTGTAGCAGGATGAAGGACTCTACCGTACCCTCTATCACACACTCTTTCTTTCTCTCTCTCTCTCTCTCTCTCTCTCTGTCTCTCTCTTAAATACTGATAGACAGATAGAGATAGATAGAACAACAATAAGGAAGGAGAAAGGTAAAAGTCAGGTAGCGTGTGGCGGTAATTATCTTACCTGTAATAATAACGCATAGGTAAATATAATTGTCATTTTCCAAGACTTCTCTATACACACACACACACACACACACACACACACACTCCTTAACGTCATCTGGTTTTACCCCTTTTAGAACCGTCCCAATTAATGATTGCGATAGGAGGAACTTACCTGCATCAGAAAAAGACGCCACTAACCTACCTGCCTGATGTCTGGTACCATATCTGCTTCGTCACCAGCCAACAGGACTCAAGGGGTACTTTTTATCTGAATGGGTGAGTTAATTTGCATATGGTTCTTGAGTTACAGTGTTAATGTTAGGAGTTGAAGTTAATTTGCATATGGTTCTTGGTGTTAATTTTAGTTTGCAAGAGACAAGGATTTTTTAGGTAGTTTTTGTAGGTTTTTAAGGTAATTTTAGTTTGCAAGAGACAAGGATTTTTTAGGTAGTTTTTGTAGGTTTTTAAGGTAATTTAGGCACCTCCTCCTCCACCATACCTGATCCTCCACCACACCTGATCCTCCACCATACCTGATCCTCCACCACACCTCCTCCCACCATACCTGATCTCCACCATACCTGGATCCTCCACCATACCTCCTCCCTCCACCATACCTGATCCTCCACCATACCTGATCCTCCACCATACCTGATCCTCCACCATACCTCCTCCTCCACCATACCTGATCCTCCACCATACCTCCTCCTCCACCATACCTGATCCTCAACCATACCTCCTCCTCCACCATACCTCCTCCTCCAAAATACCTCCATCTCTAAACCTCATCCTCCACCACCTCGCCCTCCAGGAAGAAGTCAACCTCGTTCAAACTCCCTAAGAGAGACATACTACTGAACGGCTCCCTGACACTCGGACAAGAGGCTGACAAGGTGAACGGCGGGTACCAAGCCCAACAGTCCTTTTCTGGGATCATTACGGGCTTCAAGTACGTTCTCTGTCCTTCCCTCACACCTGTACGTTCACCCATTTGATGTTAATGTCTTGTTACGTGTATCTGATATAAATGGTGTTGTCCTAATTATCACACCTACTATAATTATTACTATAACTGCTATAATTGTTGCCCTAATTATCACACCTACTATAATTATTACTATAACTGCTATAATTGTTACCCTAATTATCACACCTACTATAATTATTACTATAACTGCTATAATTGTTACCCTAATTATCACACCTACTGTAATTATTACTATAACTGCTGTCTATACCATCATAACTATACAGTATATATATAATTTCTACTGATTATATCCAGTACAAATATACTCCTATAATTGGTCATATTTTCAGCATGTACTCAAGACAACTACGTGGAGAGGAGGTGGAGGCGCTAGCTGGCTGTGAGGTGGAGGAGGTGGAAGGTGACCTGGTAGGGTGGAGGACTGCTGTTTGGTCTGTGAATGGTGACGTCACACAGGTGGATCTCAGCGTGGAGGAGTACTGTACCCCTGAAAGGTATGTGTGTGTGTGTGTGTGTGTGTCTGTGTTGTCTGTGTGTGTGTGTGTGATGATATAAACAATGGATCACCTGAAAATTAAGCCTCCCTACCTTACTTCACCTTAGGATTAAACACCTTAATACTAATCTAACCTAACCTAACCCCCAGGTAACTTTAGTGTGTTTAATCATCAGGTAAGATAAATTCAAGGTACTCAGTGTTCAGGTGTTCCTCATTAAGAACACAAACTAATACATCATCACACCTACCAACAGGTTTCGGTTCACGGTCTTTCCCCAGCGTCGGAAGTACACTGTAGCACATGTCTTCTGTACCAAGTTGAAGACCTCCCTCGCTGTGCCCAAGAATAGCGAGGAGAACACCGCCCTGTATGACGCCTCTGTGATCCTGGTGGAGAGATGTCAGCCAGCCAATCATGCCTTTCTCTATTTCTGGTTGGGTGCTTATGAGATGGACAATGGCATTTGGACTGATGCCAAGGTACTGTACTATACTACTTTGTGCTTTGTATTGTATGCTGTAATATTAAGGTTCCAATGTCCAGTAAAATTAAGTGAAAAATTTATCTTAAATTGTTTAGCTTTGTGATGAGGTAAGAAAGCTTTTATCTTCTTTAGAGAAATGTCCTCAAGTTGTTGGTTCAGGCGCATAACTGATTATAAAGTATTACCCTTATAATATGTGGAATAACACTATATCCTCCAGCTTTAATACAGTGAAACCTCCATAAAACGGACTTCTCTCCATATAGTCCGTTAAATCGAGGTTTCACTGTATATGATTGTTTTTTCTAATACTCTCACCAACTCAGGGCTCACGTCTCAACTTTACCAACTTCGACGACACCACCATTAAGAAATCAAAGAACTGCTCAGGGTTTAAAGTCCCACCTTATACTGAAAACTGGGACCAAATCTCCTGCACTTCAACTTATGAGTTCTGTATGGGGTGTGAGGAGGTGGAGCCAACTGTCCTGAAGATGCGGGGGTTGTGTGAGCAGTACCTACAGTCAACCTACTTAAGATTAGAACAGCACAAGGGACAAATGCCAGCCTTTAGGTACGCTACAACACAGTGGAAATTTGTTTCTTGTTCCTCTGACTTTGGGGCAAAATAAACTGACTACCCCGGTATATCATTTATGTTTTTATTTAGTTATTTATATCTATCTTAGGAAAATTAGTTAAAGTTCAATTTATTTATAGTAATTTGGTGAAATAATTATAAACATGTGAAGGTAAGCACCGAGAATATACACAATGGTTCCTTATTCTTTTTGTCTTCTATACAAGTTTTTTTTACAAGGCGTCCATAGAATCCCGTTCTGATTTCAAGCATATCTACAAACGACATAAGATACTGAAGAGCATATTTTTTGCATTTGATAGAGTAAAAATTAAATTTTTGCGTTTCACCTAACCAAAACGCCCCCCCCCCCCACCAAAAAAAACCGCCTACATATTAATATTTTATACCATTTACAGATATATTTAAAATCAGGGCGGGACTTATGGATACCCTGTTTTAGATGAATATTAATGCTATTTACTTTACTTTCAGAGGCTTTACTAAATACTACATCTCATTCGACGGGAACCACACGTGGAGTTTGATCAATATGTGGTCAAGCGAGGCGGTGGCGACTTATTTTACCTACGAGTCAGATTTACCTTTAGGAAGACGGGATTGGCGGACCACTGCTGACTTTCAACTGTGTGACAAGCCTGCTGGTGAGTGTGTTGTGAGTGTGTGACAAACCTGCTGGTGAGTGTGTTATGAGTGTGTTGTGAGTGTGTGACAAACCTGCTGGTGAGTGTGTTGTGAGTGTGTGACAAACCTGCTGGTGAGTGTGTTGTGAGTGTGTGACAAACCTGCTGGTGAGTGTGTTGTGAGAAACATATTGATGAACCAACTCTCATGAAGGTATTTTTACTATAATTTGTTTTTTACTTTCAATTCAATTAATTTTACACACACACACACACACTTCTCTAACCCTCTCTCTCTCTCACACACACAGGAGAGAAGCACCTGTTATCCCTCTCCGCTTGTTACGACCACGAGTATACCTGTGATGAAGGCACCTGCATCAACCTGACCCAGCGGTGTGACCTGAGGGTAGACTGTCCCGATAATACAGACGAGACGGGGTGTGATAAGCTCTCCCGACCTCCTGAGTACCTCCATTCTCTCCCTCCTCCTGGGGTCGAGTTGGGTCCTCTATCACTCAATACCTCTGTTACTCTGAAGGGGTTTTCACAGGTGAGTATCTCGTGTTGTTTCCATAGGTAATAGTTCTTTCTCCCATAGGTCATAGTTCCTTCCCTAGGTGATAGTTCCTGCCCCCATAGGTGATAGTTCTTCCCCCATAGGTGATAGTTCCTTCTCCCATAGATAATCAGGACGATAAAGAAACGAAAGAGAGAGAGAGAGAGAGAGTAACAGGTAGCGTAATTAACAGCATGACGTCACACACAGGTAGACATCCGGGACATGAAATTAACGGTGGACTTCTCAATCATCATCACCTGGTTTGACCTCCGCTTACGGTACAAGAATCTCAAGGATCTATCTGACCTTAACTTTATCCAGGTTAGTGTTTTGTGGCACCTAACCTAACTTAACCTAACTTGTTACTTATCTAAACAGTACTTATGTTGACTTACTTATTAAGGACAGGTAGTACTTAATTAGACAGTACTTTACCTTCGACAGTACTTTACATAATTAGACAGTACTTTACATAATTGGACAGTACTTTACATAATCGGACAGTATTTTACATAATTAGACAGTACTTTACATAATTAGACAGAACTTTACATAATTGAACAGTACTTTACATAATTAGACAGTACTTTACATAATTGGACAGTACTTTACATAATTAGACAGTACTTTACATAATTAGACAGTACTTTACATAATTAGGCAGTACTTATTTGACCTGTTTACCATATTACTGTCGTGTTGTTCAGCCGTCATTAGTATGGACCCCGTCGCTGGAGTTGGTGAACGCTGATTTCCCCAATACCTACAAGACAGCGGCAGTACTGACAGTCGTTCGCCAGTCACCCCCTGAAGAAGACGATCCCAGGCTACCTGCTCATGGTAGGTGGGGGGGGAGGAGTTGGGGGGTGTTAGAGGGAGGGAAAGGAGGGAGAAAGTGGGGAGGAGAGGGAGGGAAAGGAGGGAGAAAGTGGGGAGGGAGAGAAAGGTAGGAGGAGAAAGTTAGTAATGGAGAGAAATGGGAGGAAGGTAAGTAAGGGTTGAAAAGAAAGATTGAAGAGGGAAAATTGGAGGGTAAAGGAGAGAGGAAGGAAGGAATACGTACAAAAGAGACAGAAGTAAAACAAGGACCGATACAGAATGGAAGGAGAGAGATGTGTGGGAATTACTGTCATCTATAACGTTAAATCTGATCCTTACCTGTCTGTCTGTCTGTCTGTCTGTCTGTTCTTCCCTTCCTTCCCCTTCTCTTTTTTTCTGTTTTTCTTGTTTTGAATCTCTTTTCCTTCCTTCCTTCCTTCCTTCTAACAATCATCCTCCCTCAACAGACGAGCTGTATGAAGGCAGTAAAAACCCATTACGCCTTAACCAGAAGTTCAACGCGCCCTTCTCATGCACAATGGACCTTCGGAATTTCCCCTTCGACAACCAACACTGTAGCCTACTTCTGCGTCTTACCTCCGCCCGCTCGGATTTCCTTCGGTGGCACAAGATGACTGTTGATTACCCTGGAGAGGTGAGCTAAGAGGAGGGGAAGGGAAGGAGGGTGGGAAATAAGTGAATGAGGTAGGGAGAGAAGGAACAAGGAAGGGATGGAAGGAAGAGAAAAGAAGGACGCAGAGAGGAATGGAAGGGAAGGAAAGGGAATGGAAAGGAAGGGAAGAAATGAATGAGGTAGGGAGGGTTGGAGAAGAGGAGGGAGGGAAACAGAGAGAAAAAGGGTTAAACCATTGTCCTTAAAGGGTTAAACCATCGTCCTTAAAGTGTTAAATCATTGTCTTCAAAGGGTTAAACCATCGTCCTTATAGGGTTAAACCATCATCCTCAAAGGGTTAAACCATCATCCTCAAAATTTTAAACCAACATCCTCAAAGGGTTAAACCACACCCTCAAACAACTAAAACCACCTATACCCCCACCCAGGTCCTGCTAACGGAGTACGAGGTGGGGAAATTCAGCATCGACAGACAGACTATAGACGAATACAGCGTCGCTAGAGTGAAAATCAACTTCTCACGACGCTACGGTTATTACCTCCTCTCCGCCTACCTGCCCACGGTGATGTTAATGATCATCAGCTACGCCTCTCTCTACTGTAAGCGGGAGAGTCGTGACCTGAGGGTGATGATGGCTCTTACTACTCTGTTGGTTCTATATGCTCTCTATCAACAGACCCTCTGATGGGTTGCCCAAGACCTCGTATATTAAAGCTATAGATGTCTGGTGTTTGTTCGCTATTACGTTTATCTTCTCACAGGTGAGTTGTGTTGATGTCTCTCTCTAGCCTGCCTGAAGATTACACACTCCAAACCTCCAATCCAACCTGTCTTAACTCCAACCTAACCTATTCAACCTAACCTAACCTATCTTAACTTAACCCATCCCAACCTAACTCATCCGCACTCTAACTAATCTGATCTAATCCCCTCAAGGTAGAGTTAGGGTTGTTAATCTTCAAGTGAATTAAAAAGCTGAGGTGATTAATATTCATGTTAAATTAAGATGGGGTGGCCAATCTTCAGGTGATCCTAATAATTGATAAAGATATAGGTAATAAGCAGTTGTCACATCTACCTGTCTGTTTCTCCCTTACTTCTTCTATCCCACCGTGGCCACCTTCATCTTCACCGTACACTTCTCTACCCCACCATGGCCACTTCCTCCCTCTATCGCACATCTGCTTCTTTTACTGTGGCCACCTCTGTACCCTATCAGCGTCACTTCATCTCTTCTCCTCTCTACCCCACCATGGCCACTTCTCTACCCCACCATGACCACTTCTCTACCCCACCGTGGCCACTCCTCTACCCCACTGACGTCATCATTATTATAGGTAATATTCCACGTGGCTATAGACGTCAACCTACTGTGGCTACGTCAATTACGTCACTCGTCACGCATCAAGGTGGATGAAGTCGGGCCGCCATCGGGAGGATGTTGTAGTGACCCTCTCGTGGCCGCCAGAATCTTCTTCGTCGTATTTTTCCTTCTCTTCTGCCTCGTCTACTGGGTTGTTGTCCTCTCTACTGAAATTTAATCACCGTTTACTTAGGAATAGTATCTGTATGTCAGGAAAATTACCACCTTTTTATATAGAATTAGGTTAGGTTTTATTAACGCCCAGTGTTCAGGGTTTAAATATACTGCTCAGAGACCTCATGGTAATGTAAGTGAATTTGTAGTAATGGATTGTTTTAAGTAATTAGTAAATGATTGTGTTAAGTAATTAGTAAAGGATTGTGTTAAGTAATTAGTAATGGATTGTGTTAAGTAATTAGTAAATGATTGTGGTGTGGAGTAATTAGTAAAGGATTGTTAAGTAATTAGTAAATGATTGTGATGTGGAGTAATTAGTAAAGGATTGTGTGGAGTAATGGAAGTATTATATTTAGTAAAGAACTGTTTAAGTAATATAATTAATTAGTAGTAAAGGAGTGTTGACTGACATTAAGTATTTAGTTAAGTTTTCTGTCGAGTATTGAAGTGATATGTAGTAAATAATTATGTAGATTGAGTAATTGAAGGACTATTAAGTTATGAGAAATAAATAGCAAAAGATTAAGTAATAATTAATAATGTATTATAAGTAGAGTTCACTGCAAGAGGGAAGTTTGGGTCTATTTGGACTAGGGGCCTACCAAGATTGGGGCCCACTGGACTTATAAACAAAATATCCTCGTATTTGGAACTTTCATAACTAAAGAGACTTTCTTAATTCACTGTGATGTAGTTTTTAATGTTAAGCACACATCAATGTTATTTGTGTTTATTTACCCCTATATAACCTCAATTAATACCTAAGTTAAAGCTACATTTGGTTTTATACGAGTCATATAGATAAGTTTACCATTAATCTAAATAAAAGAAAACGAATATTTTACATTTTCTATAATTATTTAAGGGGATTCTACATAGTATTGAGAAACTTGATGAGGAATGGTTATGAACTTTGATGGTAAATTTTGAGAGAAAATAGTGAACTAATAAAGGAAAGGTTACTAATGGTTGAAATAGATGATAAAATGGGAAGAAAGATGAAAAAATATTAGCTATTATTATTACTTATCATTTTCACCACAACAATGACCGTATTTTTATTTTGTATTATTATTATTATTAGTAGTAGTAGTAGTAATAGTAGTTTATTATTATTATTTAGTAGTAGTAGTAGAGAGTTCTTTAGTAGTTAGTATGGCACAAATTAATCCTCCCTGTACAAGCATAAAAAAGAATACATTGCTTTAAACATTTAATTTACATAAACGTTTACATGTGCAGCTTTGGCTACATATCAAAAATCATTCATAATATTGTTAATTTATTTCACAGAATTTCATCCATATTCTCTAAAATTTGACTCAATCTTAGTAACTTTTCTTAATATTAAACGTCACAAAATGGCGTTAATATTATGCTGAGACTGTACTTAAATTGGATACATTTAGATAACCTCTTGAGTACGATAACCTATGCACTTGAGTACGATAACCTATACACTTGAGTACGATAACCTATGTACTTGAGTACGATAACCTATATACTTGAGTACGATAACCTATATACTTGAGTACGATAACCTATATACTTGAGTACGATAACCTATGCACTTGAGTACGATAACCTATACACTTGAGTACGATAACCTATAAACTTGAGTACGATAATATTGTAGGGTTAAAAGTATCGAAAAGCATCGTATTTAAGGAGTTAAGTCCACTAGTTACATCCGTTCTCTGATTTGAACTTACGACAAACATTCTTCATACGACTCTCTGTGACTCTGGACCTTATATAATCAATTTCCTTTCTATAATTTACAAATCTAGATAAAACAATATAATTCCAGTATATATAGTAAGATAATCATATAATCTATTCGTATAAAAATTCAAGAAATTCATTTATGCACGTTAACTGTATATGTTATTTTCATGTAAGAAATTATTACACATAATATATAACATACAGTATAACTACATATTGATAACAGCTTATATCAGTGTAAGAAATTAATACTGCTATATTAATGTTTCTATAAAATATTATTTTCATATAAGAATCCCAAACTATGTTATAAACAGCACGAAGGCGATAGTTAAAATAGCCTTAACTACTGGATATAAGTAAGGCATAATAACTGATTACTAGTAATTATTCTCTAAAATTTTGTTGTTTATACTTGTTTTCCTCTACGTTTACAATCATCTTTGTAAACATTGTAAACATTGCTTGTCTGCTTCACGTTGTTTGGATTTGTTTGCTTCTGGGGTTTGTGAGGGTCGATCTTTTGATTTTCATTACCTCACTCCTGTCTACGTAAACACACCTCTCTCCTCATCTAGGCCAGGTAAACAAAGTCCTCATGGATATTTTTTACACTCTTGGGGAAATTCATGGACGGATTTCTTTATTGGTTCGGTTCGGTTAGATTCGGTTAGGTGCGATTAGGTTCGGTTTGTGTCGGATTTATTCGGTTAGGTTCGGCTTGGGGATTTTTTTCCTAGGGTGAGGTAAAGATCATCTTATTGTACTTATTCGTCTTCTAGGATGGACAGAGAGAGAGAGATTTCGTTTTCTAGGAGACACAGCAATTGTTATTCGACGTCCTAGGAGAAGTAACACGACGACTTTTCATAGGATAAACACCTCAGCAACCTCTCGTCCTAGGAGACTCAACGCCCCCTCCTATCTACATCTTGTCAGAGTTGAGCTCGGCGGAGGCGGTGGTGGAGGCGTCGTTGCTGGCCTCGCAGGACTCGTCAAACACCCCTGATGAGGACCTCTGGGACTGTACCTCCTCGGACTTGGTTCTCGAGACGGGGCTTAATGGCGGCACCTGCAGGAATAACAGTGGCACTTATGGAGGCGTAGTGGCACTTATGGAGGTGTAGTGGCACTTATGGAGGTGTAGTGGCACTTATGGAGGTGTAGTGGCACTTACGGAGGTGTAGTGGCACTTATGGAGGTGTAGTGGCACTTATGGAGGTGTATTAGCACTTATGGAGGTGTATTAGTACTTATGGAGGTGTAGTGACACTCAGAAAGGGCCAGAGTACATGTATGATCCAAAGGGCTGGACTTACCACATTAGGGGCTGATATCTCCTTCTTGGCATCTAGGGATTTGGCCCTTCCCCTTGGTCGACCACGAGACCTGAGGGTAGAGGCTTGTATTAATTCTTAAGTCTTGGAAACTGTATGTGTGTGTGTGTGTGTGTGTGTGTGTGTGTGTGTGTGTTTGTTTGTTTGTTTGTTTGTTTGTTATAATCACCACAAACACTTAAATTGATACACAGGTGTTGGTGAATCTTAAGAGCTGAATGATACTATTATCTCTCTCTCTCTCTCTCTCTCTCTCTCACCTAGAGCGAGCCTTCCTGAAGAGTGACCCGGTATCATAGTAATCCAGAGCCTCTTGGTCAAGCCTGGGAAGTGACCTGACCCCGACCGTCTTCCTGATTGGTCCTTTGCGAGGGTCAAGGATCCTCTGAGATGGTCGTATACCCGCTTGACCGCTGCTGGAACATAACCACTCGGTCAAATGAGGTTATGTTGGGTCAAAAAAGATCACTTGGTGTTATTTGGGTCAGAGAAGGTCACATGGTGTTATTATTGGTCACAGGGGGTCAAATAAGGTCACTTGGGTTATTGGGGGTCACAGAGGGGTCAAATAAGGTCACTTTGGGGGTCACAGTGGCAAATAATATCACGAGGTAAATATTGTTCACAGGGGGTCAGACAATCTCACTTTGGGGGTAACATGGGGTCAAATAAGGTCACTGTAGTTACAAAGGTCAAAGGTCACTGGGAGGTCATAATTCCAGTTATAATTCACCTTAAATTCTAACATAAGATTAACATAAAATAAGACACAAATCCGTGTGTTTGTTATGTACACTATCTACGATCATAAGAGCATTCAAATAAACGCGAAAAAAATTGGTCCCAGATTCATATAGGTTCTTACGGTAAATTTATCCTCGTAGCTGGAGATGAAAAGCTGTATCTAACTAACTTTAGGTAAGATACAAAAATTACGTCTAAAATGGCGTTAAAATTATACTGAGACTCAACCTTGATACGTCACATAACTAATGCTAAATGACGTAAGTTAATGACACTGAGACACAATACGTCACCGAACTAATACTAAATGACGTATCAAGTTAACATTACATTGAGACCTTAACTTAATACGTCACTTACCATCAGTTAGGGACAAAATTAATCTCTAGTCACTTATATCATAGGTTATTAGGGTAATTTTATCACATAAGTTAATGTTTCTAGTTAAGGTAGAGTCTCAGTGTCATTTAAACGCCATTTTTAGACGTATTTTCTGTGTTTTAGATAATTTAACTAATAGATATAAGAATATAGGCCAAAAAAATTATATCATTAACTACTGTAATTAAGAACGGGTGACCTGAAGAATCACCACCCATGCTTATTTCACCTGAAGATTAATCACCCTAACACTATTTGAGGATTAGGTTAGGTCTAGGGTGGTCAATCTTCAGGTGAAATAAACTAAGGTGTCTAATGTTCAGTTGACCCCAAACTCTAGCTAACTGGAAGGGTAAATACATGCAAACTGTCGATGATAAACTGTTTACATATACACAATAAAGCCTCATGCACCAATAATACCTAGAAAAATAACAAGAGATGTTACTTCATTCTGGTTTAAAGATGTTGACTACTTGGTACTGTTTAAAGGAGCGATTTAAGAGGAGCAGGGAACAATTCTGACCCCTGCCAGACCCGCACCCGAACCTGTGTCTCATACTAAACTCATGGGGGGGGGGGGTTGGTTTGATTAGGATAAATGTTGGTTTAGTTTGAGTTAGGTCAGATTAGGTTATGTTAAGGGACGGTTGGTTAGGGGATGGTTGATTTAGGTTAGGGGTTAGGTTAGATAGGGTTAGGTTAGGTTAGTATAGAGGTTTACTTAGGTTTGGCTTGTGGTTGATTGCGTTAAAGTTTGGTTAAGTTAAGTTAAATTAGGTTAGATCAGGTTAGGTTATGCTACGTTTGGATAGATGGTTAGGTGAGGTTAGATGTACAGGTAAGGGGTCAGGTCTGGGGGGTGAATGAGTTCGTCCACCGCTATATGAGACAGGTGTCCAATGTTTACCTCCGCTCGAATACCGCATCTAGCACAAATCTGCTGAGGAGAATAGTCTGTCAGTCTTCTGCTTAATATTCCCTCCATAAGCAATACACTGCATACAATATGAAGTAAATGAGTGTATGTGTGTGTGTGTGTGGTAGTGTGTATGTGGTAATGTGTATGAGTGTATGTCGGTATATATATATATGGTAGTTGTGTATGAGTGAAGAACGTATAATGGTTAATACTTTGGGTGATGGTAATATTTACTTGAGTATGTTATGAGGTAAAGATGTTATTCAAAACTACTTTAGTCCCTCCTTGGCATATGAGGTTTTCTTTGATGGAAAATGGGACGATTGTAATTCTCTATTTCTGATATATTCTAGCTTGCTTTTCTTCACACCACTAGTCTGCTTTCTTCACACCACTAGCCTGCTTTCTTCACACCACTAGCCTGCTTTTCTTCACACCACTAGCCTGATTTTCTTCACACCACTAGCCTGCTTTTCTTCACACCACTAGCCTGCTTTCTTCACACCACTAGCCTGCTTTCCTCCACCACTAGCCTGCTTCCCTCACACACCCCCAACCTACCTCCCCAACACACACACCCCACTTTCCCACTCCCACACCCCACACCCCTACTCCCACACCCCACACCCCCACTCCACCATACCTCCACTTAACGCCGCCAGGTGAGGTAACAGGTGAGGCTCCTCCAGCAAAGTGGGAGTCGTAGGAAACACTCTGTTGTCTCCATAGGTGTTCCAGCGACCTGTTGACGATGGTTAGGTCACCTGTGTACGCCCTAATTAACTCCTTCAGGTGATGGTACTCCTGTAGAAGGTGAGGGACGGGAGGGAAGCGGTCAGGTATAGGTAGTGGTATTCTCTCTCTCTCTCTCTCTCTCTCTCTCTCTCTCTCTCTCTCTCTCTCTCTCTCACCAGGATAATAAGATGCTACAGAAATACCTGGATGTCATTTAGGTTAGGTTAAGCCAGTTTAGGCTAAGTTAGGCCAGGTTAGGTTAAGTTAGGCCAAGTTAGGTAAGGTCAGGTTAGGTTAGGTCCAGTACTAACCTTAGAGTGGTTGTCGAGGATCCAACTCTTGTTCCTCAGGTCGCTGTACAAGTTGTTCCTCTCCCTCTCTAGGCTCTTCACCATCCTCAGCAGCTCAAACTGTCATCAAGCATTACCTTCTTCATGACGTAGTTTAGATATGACGTAATATATATATGACGTAATTTAGATATGACGTAATATATATGACGTAATTTAGATATGACGTAATATATATATGAAGTAATTTAGATATGACGTAATATATATGACGTAATTTCGAAACTAACTTTAAGTAAATTTACGAAAACTCATGAATTAGTTTGGAATTTATATACATACATACATACATACATACATACATACATTGGTAGATTACAAATTATGAAGGAATTACTTGGAAAATATACCCATGACTGTATTAGTATTTTGTGAAGTAGAAATTTGTTAAAAGAATATTACCAATAGCTTGAATATCTTTGAGATTTACTGTTGTTTAATATTTTGTGAAGAATGACTAAATCCGGCGTAGGTTAGGGTAGGTTAATTAGGTTAGTTCATCGATTTGTTCTGTTAAGGTGGGTTAGTTTGGTTAAGTTAGGTTGAATTGCTGGGTTGGGTTAGGTTATCTTTTGGTTATCTTATGTTGCTGGGTTAGGTTTAGTTTAGGTTAGATTTAGGTTGGGTTTAGGTTAGGTTCCGAGTCCAAATTATACCGTTTACCTGACGAAGGAGGACTTACCTCATTGTACTGATCGAGGTCCTGGTCGTAGGTGTACTCTTGGCCTGGGGAAACAACACAACCATTACACCTCACGCTTACACTATATACAGGTAGACATACAGGTGTAAACAATATCAGTAACACACACACACACACACACACACACACACACACAAACATATGGATAAATAGCGTAATTAAGCACTTATATATAAAGTTTCTGAAATATCATTAGTATTGTGTGAATATTATCGTATATAAACAGGAGAGGCGCAGAAAATACCCCCCCCCCCAACACACACACACACACGTGGTCAAATCAAATCAAATAATTACTTAAAACATACAAAGTGTTCAAGTATGTCATAAGTAACTTTGAAAATATATGAAGCAAAATAAGTCTACTTACTGTTATATTATTCTTAAGAGCAAAAGAAAAGTATATAACAAGGAATAGTTACCGTGGCAGGTTAGGTCAGGTGAGGTCAGGTGGCAGACGGGTGAGGTGTTGGTGCTAATTAATATACCTTGACCTCACTTGACCTGTGACGTGTATACCTTGACCTTACTTGACCTTTGACTTGTATACCTTGAACTTACTTGACCTGTGACGTGTATACCTTGACCTTACTTGACCTGTGACGTGTATACCTTGACCTCACTTGACCTGTGACGTGTTTACCTTGACCTCACTTGACCTGTGACGTGTATACCTTGACCTTATTTGACCTGTGACGTGTATACCTTGACCCTACTTGACCTGTGACGTGTATACCTTGACCTCACTTGACCTGTGACGTGTATACCTTGACCATATTTGACCTGTGACGTATAAGAGCGACGCCATCTTGAAAACAACATCAGCAGATAGATATTTGTTTACTTTCAATGTTTTTATTTGTTTTTGTGGGTTTTTTTTGCTCAATAGTGGATTTTCTTTCCCTGTACAGCTATCGTGTCGCCCAGCTGTGTGGCGTAGAGAGATGAAGAAGAAAGAGAAACATGCTAAAAGTCTCCAAAAGTCTCCAAAAAAATCCACAAATGTCTCCAAAAGTCTCCAAAAAAATCCACAAACGTCTCCAAAAGTCTCAAAAAAAATCCACAAACGTCTCCAAAAGTCTCCTCTGAATCCCCAAACGTCTCCAATAATCTCCAAACGTCTCCAAGTCAATGAGCCCAAATAACGTAAGTACAGTACTAATTTCGTCTTTGTTTCGTATTAAAATTATAACAAATATCGTAAAATTAAATAATACATCTTGAATTAATTTGTTATCGAAGAAAGTCAACATTATCACTTAAAAATACGAAGAAAAATATATAGAGTGCAATTAAGAGGTAACACAGCCAGACACACAGACAGACTGCAGTGGTATACAAGCGTCATGACCAGGTACAACATACTGTACATACTCAGTGTCGTAATGCTGAAACCCCGCCGATACACTGTACAGGGATATTGTGAGAGAGTTAGTGAAAGGAATTACTTACGAAAGGCTCGTGTAAACATGGGTACTACTATTACTACTACTACTATTGCTGCTATTACTATTACTATGATTATTATTATTATCATCACTACAGTATTATTATTATTATTATTATTATTATTATTATTATTATTATTACTACTACTACTACTACTACTACTACTACTACTACTGACGAAGGAGGACCTACCTCGCTTGATCTTCTCCTTGGTCTTGTGAACCTCGTCCAAGTACCACTCTGTCTGTTCCTCAAGCTTATCGTTCAGTTCAAGCTGAGCCTCGTAGCGTAACTTGAACTCGCTCCCTGGAACACCAAGCTTGAGTTATTGCTGCTGCTTCTTCTTCACACACACACACACACACACACACACACACACACACACACACACACACACACATGCTTATCTATCATCTCCTCCTCCTCCTCCTCTTGCTCTCCTCCCTGTTACCTTCTATTCCTTACTTTTATCTTCCCCTCTCTATCGTTCCTTCCCTATTATCATCTATCTCCTTTTATCTTCCTCTTCCTCACCTTCATCATGCCCCTCACCAAGATCTTCAAGTCGTTTCTCCAGGTCGTCCACACTCTGCTGTAGTACTCCAACCGACCACTGTATTGTATCCCTGGGTGGTACAGTGGTGTTAGTGGTACAGTGGTGGTACAATGATGTTAGTGGTACTGTGGTGTTAGTGGTACAGTTGTGTTAGTGGTACAGTGGTGTTAGTGGTACAGTGGTGGTACAATGATGTTAGTGGTACAGCTGTGTTAGTGGTACAGTGGTGTTAGTGGTACAGTGGTGTTAGTGGTACAGGAATGTTAGTGGTACAGTGGTGTTAGCGGGTACAATAATGTAAAGACCAATGGAATATTTAAATGAATACCTAAAAACGTCTAGTGAACTATTAAACGTATAGTGACGTCCAATAAGCGTCAAATAAACGCTTTTACAGTATTTAAACTCCTAATGACTAACACTGCCATCAGCTGTTAAAGGAATACACAAGGGCTGTAATCCTCGTCTATTATTAACCCAAAATAATCATTCTATAATCATTCTTCAGTATACCTACACAAGGTTATATTCACTATACTCGATATACCACGTAAATTATAGTATAGTTATATTATTATTATAGGTATGGTATAGTTATTAAAGTTTTCCCAGTATATTGTTGTAAAGGTTTGATCTATTGGGAGTGAAATGCTTTTAAGAAAATATATTGTATAAATGTTCATAATTAATCTATATATATCCTTGGTAAATAAATCATAAATTCCTTTTAATAAAACTCTAAAGAAGAAAATGTATTAAAGCCAAACTTACCTTAAAATTAAATAAAATACAGCCATGTATACACTAAAGCACTGCATGTATAGTAGTATTATACATATAGCTGGTGTATAAATCAGCATGTATATTACCACTAAGGCATATAGGTTATACACAATACAATAATACAAGCATGGTACTATTACACACAATATACGGCCGTAGAACCTTACATTGGTGCATTATTGTATTAATCATACAACCAGAGAAATACAACAGGGAGAATCACAGCTTATATACCAAGTAATAAATCCTCCTATAGCCATTTTGGGGTAAAAAAACGACATCCAATACAAACAGCAGAGGTCATTGTTTATACAGACAAACAAACAAACAATTGACTATCTAAAGGTATCGCCTATTGACCTTTTCATTGTTTACATTGGATGGTAATTCTCACTCCGGCCGCAAGTCATCAATAAATTTTTCATTCGTCACTGAAATATGTTCGTGTTCGATTGCTTTTCTCCCTGTCACTACGTCTCTGATGTCAATACACACAATACGTATTTTATTAACTGAAATAACAATACATAAGACGGAATGAAGCTAAATATCTACACAAAAGGCGTATTTAATGTAATAAAAAAATAACTATGCAAAAGACAGGTCAGCTCACAGAGGCACAACAATGGCATGTTACATAGCAGTTCATTATACACTACAAAAGCTATAGAGATGATTGCCTCTATAATAAGCTGCTATATGAATTAAGAAAACTATAAGTATCTATAATGAATATATTGGAATAATAATTGGTTGTGTCGATTAATTATATTACGTGAGACCACAAATTGATCCACCTGATTGGCTAATTTCATGTAGTCATAAAGTAATCGACCGTTCTTGAGTGCTGATTGGTAAAATTCCAAGACGTCATTAAGAATTCGACCGTTCTTGGGTGCTGATTGGCTAAATTTCAGGATGTCATAAAGTATTCGACCGTTCTTGGGTGCTGATTGGCTAATTTCATGTAGTCATAAAGTAATCGACCGTTCTTGAGTGCTGATTGGTAAAATTCCAAGACGTCATTAAGAATTCGACCGTTCTTGGGTGCTGATTGGCTAAGTTACAGTAATAATTTGTGAATTTGATTAATCTCGCTCTCTCATTGGTCACTTTGTGTTGCCGAGGGTAAATTCGTAAATGGATGAAAAATTTCAGTAAAAACATATCACCATTAAGCTTAATTTACACCAATTACTGAATAACTACATACAGAGTGAAAAAGAAACACTTAAATAGCGTAAATTAATACTTAAAAAACGCACTAAACTCTACGTATAGTACACAACTACAATGGTTAAGTCAGTCAGAAACTACAAGTGACTTAGAAACTTACAATTAACTGTAGATAATTATGTCTTACTATATAACCTTATGTTATTAATTAATTTATTTAGTATTATCTAATTAATCACTAAACACCATTATGAGATTAATCTTTTACGGCTCACAAATAACAACTTTTTATACTTTTTCTTTATTACTGCAAAACTACATTAATAATAGGCTGTTGAAGCTTCATGCTCTATAAACACACAGCTCTAGTGAACAGATCTGCCCAAGCTCTATTTAGTGCCACATCTGTCCCATCCACTACCGAAAACAATAGTAATAATAATAGTCATCGAGAATGCTGCAAAATTCAAAGATATACGGTAGCGTGGTATTTTGTTATGCTGAGGACGAACTGACAAGCATTAAGGGAGGAAATAGCACGTAAACTAGCATTATGGGGGTAATTAGCACGTAAACTCGCAATATGGGAGGTAATTAGCACGTAAACTAGCATTATGGAGGGTAATTAGTACGTAAACTAGCAATATGGGAGGTAATTAGCACGTAAACTAGCATTATGGGAGGTAATTAGCACGTAAACTAGCATTATGGGGGTAATTAGCACGTAAACTAGCATTATGGAGGGTAATTAGTACGTAAACTAGCATTATGGGGTAACTAGCACGTAAACTAGCATCATGGAGGGTAATTAGCACGTAAACTAGCATTATGGAGGGTAATTAGCACGTAAACTAGCATCATGGAGGATAATTAGCACGTAAACTAGCATCATGGAGGGTAATTAACACGTAAACTGTATTCTGGGACAGTGGACACACAGCTGAGTAGGTAAGAAGGTAAATGATTACTTACTCATCATCACTGGTTAAGAAATGCCTCACCACACACAGCTGCTCCAACGTATCTCTTGTAAATCGAGAGGCGAAAAAAAATACCCTCAATGTTTAGAGACTCAGAGGGATCAGGGTTATAAATATTTACAGAGAGAGAGACTTGGTATAAAGGATTATTTCATTGTGGGGAAGTAGATTTTTATAGAGGAGGTATTCTAGGGTGATTATCTTAGATTAAAATGTACAGGAGATATTAAAGATAATTATTAATGGTTATATATAAAGTAGAGGAATAAATGTTATATACAATAGATAAGGAGAGACGAAGAGGAAAATCTTGAGATAAAACAACGAAAGAGAGAGAGAGAGAGAGAGAGAGAGAGAGAGAGAGAGAGAGAGAGAGAGAGAGAGAGAGAGAGAGAGAGAGAGAGAGAGAGAGAGAGAGATCATGCAAAAAAAGAAGAATCTATAAAAAATAAAATATCACATCCTGATAACACAAGATAAACGATAACATTGCAAACTATCAATACGATGGAGAGGAGAAAAAGGAGGGGGGGGGGGTAGGAGTTATCTTACCTATAACGCATTTCCTGTTCCAGCTCTTTCTCCAAACGCGTCATTTCATCCTTCTTCGCGGCTTTTGTACCCCCAACCGCTTTCACGCCCTTGTTGCCTTTCTCTCTTCTTCTATGTCCTTCGGTGGTATCCTTCCATCCTTCAGATTCCGCCGAGCTTCTCTCCCAGCCTTTCATTCTCGTGGGTTCCTCTGAGAAAGGGCTGTTAACCCCCTCAGAAGACGTCCTCCCTAGACCACTATCTGTACTCTTTCTGTCTCTCTCTCTTCTTATATTCTCCTCTATTCTCTCTTCGTTCTCCCTATTCCCCCTATTCCGTGTTTGTCTCTTGTCTTTTGAAGTCTTGGTATATCCATTGACGAGTCTGCTTCGTCGGGTTAACAGAACAGGGACCTCAGGTGTAGAGCGATGTTGGCTGGAGACTGGAGTGAGGGAGATTGGGGTATTGGAGACCGAAATATTGGAGACCGGGGTATTGGAGACCGAGTTATTGGAGACCGGGGTATTGGAGACCGGGGTATTGGAGACCGAGTTATTGGAGACCGGGGTATTGGAGACCGGGGTATTAGTAGAGACCTGGATATTGTGGGTATCAGGTGAGGTATTATGAGATGGTCCGTCGTTACTCCGTTTCTCCTCACCTAAACTCTCTCGTTCCTTCGGGTTCAAAGACTCGTTACCAAGACTCTCCGGGTTCAAAGACTCGTTACCAAGAATCTCCGGGTTCAAAGACTCGTTACCAAGAATCTCCGGGTTCAAAGACTCGTTACCAAGACTCTCCGGGTTCAAAGACTCGTTACCAAGACTCTCTGCTGGTACTCCACGACGGGACATAACTAGACGGACTAAATCGTACCTTGGGAGACCATCTTAGTCGCCTCCTCTCTGAAAATTAGTCTGAGTTATAGTGAATTTGTTCATTAATTAAGGTAGTGTAATCACTTGAGTAAGATGATTTAACCCCTTGAGTAGAATGACACCCCTTTGAGTACGATGATTTAACCCTTTGAGTACGATGATTTAACCCCTTGAGTACAATGATTTAACCCCTTGAGTATAATGACACCCCTTTGAGTACGATGATTTAACCCCTTGAGTGTGATGATTTAACCCCTTGAGTATGATGGTTTAACAGTTTACAGTACATGAATATTATGCGCCACACACAAGGGGTACTGTATGGTAGGTGGATACAGGGAAATAAATGCCAATGAACACGGGGAAATAAATGCCAATGAACACGGGGAAATAAATGCCAATGAACACAGGGAAATAAATGCCAATGAACACGGGGAAATAAATGCCAATGAACACGGGGAAATAAATGCCAATGAACACAGGTAATGAGCACAGGTGAATACAGGTAATGAGTACAGGTAATGAACACAGGTAATGAATAATAGGGTAGGTATGTATAGTGAAAGACAGGTGAGCTCAGGTGCGTGTTTTCAGTGGCAAAAGTATTGATTTGCATGACAGCGAGACCCAGTCCCCCTATGTATGTGATGGTGATCATGGTTGATACACATATACGCACACACCGCTTATACATACACACACACTATGTAAACATATAAAACACTTCATATACACACACTCACACCACGTATACATACAAAAATACTACTGTACATATATATACACACACACACACACGATAACGAATATCTAAGTCTCTCTACAACACGAAAGTTATTAGTATAGGCAGATTATATCCACTATCATCCTCTGCCGACACTTATGTTATCTCGGTACAATATTATACATTAACACAACGAGTCAGAACACAGGGATTAAGACGCACTGTGCTGTTCCACTCGCCACCACGAGAACACGACTACTAATCCACCTCCATTGTCCATCCCAGAGTTGACCACGTCTTCTGATTGCCACGTCTTGAGGCGCCACATAGGGAATGTTTTCATCACTAATGTCTACGGTATTTACACATACTATTATAAATTTATTGATGATTATGGTACTATTGACTTATATAAGGCTAGGACCACACTGGTTAAATGTTATGTCGTAATAGTTTCATCATGTTTAGTCGAAGTGTGGTAGGTGTGGCAACATGGCCTCATGGCGCAGTTCATTGATTGGTGCTCTAGACAACAACACAAATATGTGTACAGTATTGTTATGAACCCCACCAGGTGCTACTCACCCTCAACAAGTTCCTCTTCCTTCACTCCTGCTGGATTTTTCGGGGGTCGAGTTTTCAGGATCAACTAATGGGTGCCAGGAGTCTATAGTGATCAAGTTTGGCTGTCTATGGTATCGTGTGTGTGTGTGTGTGTGTGTGTGTGTGTGTGTGTGTGTGTGTGTGTGTGTGTGTAGGTATTTGTTGTTTGTTTCAGGTAGTGGGAGGAGTGTGAGGGGTGGACAGCTTCTTTGTTCCTGGTGACTCGCCCAAGTCTTCCTCACTATTGGTATGTTCATCACCATCAACTCTCTTTATGTTTCACCAGTTTCCTGTTTACAGTTGTTACTCAGTGGTTGGTCTGTTCTTTGGTACGACCTTTATTGTCCAGTGTTAGTACAGGAGAAAACCAGAGTACCAGAGACCCCACAAGGGCTCTTTTTACTTACTTTTATCCTCTTCACCAAATGATCGGCTCGTTAGCCGCTTGGGCGATCGGTCACGTCTCTGTTACGCACTGTTGGCAAGTTGGTATAACGTAACTAAATTTGTGTGTTTAGGGATGTTTCTATATACACACACACACACACGTGTATGTATCTATGTTATTGATTTTGTTATTGTTTGTTTTCTGTACTTAATCCAGGATCTTTTATTTTAGATATGAGGATTTCGTCTCGCTTTACTATTTCTCGGCTGTTATCGAATCACTTGAGTACATTTGTCTTGCATTTAAAAAAAAAAGCTGTTTCTTTACATTTGGTTTAACTTGGCACAGTATAATTACACACTTGATTATAGATTATGTACTATAATCTTAATAATGAGTGTTAATGTATTTGATTTTGGTTGACTTCTCATTTCAGACGCCTGAGGTGAACTTTGAGCAAATACTGGCCATTGGTGCAGCTGGAAGTAGTCGGACTCCCGTTTAATCTAGTAAAATCCAACTTCAACCAGAGCACAGTAACTTCCTGTACCTTAACCCTGTGGTCGGCTGAAGATAAACCCGGCCGATGTGGGGAATATTCTAGAATTAAATATTTTGTTCAATAATTGTTTGTTTATATCCTGTTCGTAAAAATAAAATACAAAAATAACGTTCTCTAATTCTCTCTCCTTATCTAGTTAATAAACTTCTGGTGTCGACCAACCACGATTCCAGGGTTATGTTTCTTCCGACGGTTTAGACCACATTTAAGATGTTACTGACATTTTCCTTGCCTAACTATAGGCAAGTTCAAGTTTTTATAGGTGTTATCAAAAGCCTAAAGCAAATTTTGCCGTAATTGGTCATCTGCCCTGCAAGTAAAGGATTAAAAATGTCAAATACCTTGCCAGTGAGAATTTCTTAAGCGCCAGCGATCGGATCGTTCGCGGCTTGGGCGGTCACGTCTGCTAAACTTGTATAGTACTGGGCTTAAACTGGCTCCAGAATGTATCGGAACCTCCTTGTGTTAGTCACCTCTAACTGAGGTCAAGTTTTGTAGCTGTAAATAACTGGTATACACCGAGGGGGGGAGGGACAAACAAAGTTAAAGACCAAAATAATGGAAAGTGGAAGCAAACCGTAAGTTACTGTATAATAAATAAATCTGAACTGACCATAAACTTGGAATAATAAAGTAACTTCATATTGTGCTGTGGGAAGTATTGGTTAAGTTAAATTGACGACGCAAAGTTGTTTCAGGAAATTGAGAACCAGGTGGTCTGTGAGGAGCTGCAGTAGCATTTGAGCTCGAAGAAATGGCTGCTGAAATTCAATGTCACGAAGTGTAAGAGGATGCACATGGGGGGCGTACCAACGGGATGAAGAAACGGCTCTGTTTGAGAAGGACCTAGGTGTGTGTGTCGACAATTAACTGAAGTTCTCGGGCCGTTGCGAGAAGGTAAATCGGGCAAAAAAAAAATTGGGGTCTTCTAAGGTCCCTCGTAACGATCTTCAATAGTGAAGTGGTCCCCGATGTATGCTAGGGACTGTCACTTGGTTGAAAATCTTCAAAGGAGGGCCACCAAAATGGTGCCGGCACCTCAACTACCCTGAGAGATTGGAGCGCCAGAACTTGCCTAGCAGACGGGTGGGGGGTACCTAAATGAGGTGTATTAGCATCTCGAGGGGGCACTACTCAGTCAAGTGTCCTTAATCGGAGCTGGCGGACGTTCGCCCCCACAAGAGGTCACGGCTAAAGATTGAAGAAGCCGCAGGTCTGAAAAAAAAAAAAACTGAGGGCAAACTTTTTGGGAGAGAGTTGTGAACTCTTGGAACAATCTACCAGAAAGTGTTGCGACGGTATCGAGTGTGAGCTCTTTCAAGACCAGACTTGACCAACACTGGAGCAGGTTCAAATACATTCATGAGCCAACAGTGCGTAACTGAGACGTGACCGATCTCCCAAGCAGCTAATGAGCCGATCAGTGGTGAAGAGAGTAATCGTACTGTAGTGTAATATCCAGGTTTCTCAGCGTATTGTGAAGTCACAGAAAACGGTCACGCTTTTGGGATAACTCGTATATTTCAATATTTGTACATTGAACGCGCACTGCCATAGTCAGAGCATGCAACCTTAAATATGTAACTATTATAGGTGCCTGTCAGTGTTGTGAAGGCTCATTTGTACCTAATAATAATGTTTATAGTCGTCCCCCAAACCTTTAGGAATTCGTTTGAGTCGGATATTTCATAGGATAATGACCTCCCTGCCCCCTCATCTCCATAAAAGAAAGACATGAATGTGAGTTATATTTGATCTTGTGGTTGTAAACTGTGTCGTCTCAGGAGGAGGCGAGATGTCTACCCGTGATCGTGGCGGCGGAGACACGTAAGATCTCATCCAAGAGAATATATTTATGCTTCTCACACTTGTTTTACTACTACTACTACTTTCCTCTACACCTGTTCCATCATATATACCATCCTACACCCCCCCCCCTTCTACTAGCACTACCACCCTCACCACTACCATCCTCACCCCTACCACCATCAATACTATTTCCACTACCACCCTCACCACTACCATCCCCACCACTACCACCATCTATGAAACCTCTCCATCCAAATAACCAACGGCTATCTACCACACTCTCCTTCTACTTTGCAAACCATCACTACCTCCACTCCACTACCTACATGGCCGTACTACCACTACTTACCTCCTACTTTCTTCCAATTATCGTTAATATTCCCCTACAACCATTACTTTCCACTCCACTCCAACAGCTACTAGTATCCCCCTCCACTACCCCTCCTATACCCCCTCCACTAACCCTACCTCCCTGCCCCTCCACCACCCCCCCTACCTCCCCTTACCTCCACTACCCCTACCTCCCATACCCTACCTCCCATACCCCCCCACTACCCCCACTCCCCTTACCCCCTCCCTACCCCTACCTCCCATACCCCTCCACTACCCCTACCTCCCCACCCCTCCACCCCTACCTCCCTTACCCCTCCATACCCCCACTCCCTTACCCCTCCCACCCCCCTCCCATACCCCTCCACTACCCCTACCTCCCCATACCCCCTCCACTACCCTACCTCCCACCCCTCCTACCCCTACCCCTACCTCCCAATCCCCCTCCACCCCTACCTCCCTTACCCTCTCCACTACCCCTACCTCCCATACCCCTCCTGCCTCCTCCCTTACCCCCTCCCTACCCCTACCTCTCTTACTCCCTACCCCCACATACCCTACCTCCCACCCCCCCACCCATTGTCTCTCCCTCCCAGCCTTAAGTTGGGTCA